CAATAAAGAACATGCTCAACAATTGACTATATACTGGTGAATGAGATTGCAAGAAGAGAAGAAATTTGCAAGTGGTAGGATGAAGCTGGTGTGTTTGATATCAGAAGTGATCAGAATAGGCCTGTTACTGAGTTGAAAATGCATGATATGCATGTAAGAGAGCCTGACAAAACCTGTAAATGGCGAATAAAACATGTAAACTGGAATAATTTTAGTGCGAAACTTACTGATACGGAATAGAAAGAGACAAATGATGTGAATCGTATGAACGAACAACTTGAGAACGCTTCGATAGCAGACCAGGAGCATATGTTCAGTTTTGAAATGCCTAACACTTGCCAAGTGTCTATGGGCAGGGTGGCCCAGTGGTTAAAGTTCAGAGTACCAAGATTTATGCACTAGAGAGGCGCGGGTTCGATCCCAGCTCTGTGCGCCAGTTTCTGGTCAGAATCGGCGAGGAGGCCGGGCGGTTAAGCACAGCAGAATTGTAGCAGTGAGTTGCGAATTCGAGACCTCAAAATGCTGTGAATGTTCTACGATGTTAAGAATCGGCGACAGGCCTACGGCCTAATAAACGCTGAAACCGCTATTATTATAGCGCCTTACGGACCTTCCAGTAAGTCCAGCAGCTATCTCAATCAATCGTCAGTTATGGAAAGATCGGGTACAAAAGGCCGGATCCATTGTGTAATCAAGTCATGGAAAGTTCAAGAATTGGCAACAGGCCATGGGCCTATTACTTCAGTGCCGACACTTCTATTCTATTCTTAAGAAATGTATGAATGAGGCTGCCAGTGGCACATGCACAAGGACCAATAAGAATGTAAGCAAAAAATAAAGAATGAAAAATGGTGGAGAAATGATGTGAAAGTGGCAAGGGATGATTGAAAAATATTGGAATTGGGTGCGTGCTGAACTCAGGTCACGACCTTTAAATCGGTCACACACACCACATAGAAGCTCTTTTACTAGCGTCAAAAATTAAAAGTTCATGTCACACTCGCAAGTTGACAAAAAGTTCAATTAATACGTATTTACAGACATCCTAAAAAACTAATACATTTCGTGATGCATGTAAATATTCTAAAAAATATAACTCGGTACTCACTGCAGTGAGTGACAGAGAGCGCATTTTCTCGTCGACGAAAACTTGAGGTCACGGACGGACGGACGGACAGGTGGACAGACAGACGGACATGGCGTGCACAATAGTGCATTTGTTACATAAATGAGAAAATGCGCTAAAAAGATAATTTACTAAAACATTCGGCACGGTCACCTTTGCTTTCTCACCCTCGATCCCCTCTCTAAACCCTCCACTCCTCATCATCCTCCTCCTCTCCCTCAACCTCCACACGTTTTCAAAAAACAGTGGGGGGAAATAAATATTCGTACACTTGAAAAATCGTATTTTAATGTATGTAAGTACACAAACATGACAGGAAAAGTGATTTAAATTATGTATAGAGACGCATAGTATTCAAAAATACTATCAAAAGAAATTAAATCTCAATGCAACAAAAAACAATGCAACATGTTCACTTAAGGCATGCTGCATTTATCACTTGCATATTGAAAACCTTGCTACATGACCAATTCAATGGTCTGGATGTTGGGTGCATGCTGCATATAAGGTTCTTGGGACATTGAGCCCCTTTGCACGGTGCATAGTCTTTCATCAAATGAGTGACAGAGACCAGGCTGGGCAGTGCACAAGCACTGGAAGCCTCCAAAATCAACTATAAAAAAAACTCATTGAGGCCTGAGGTGTACATCTCTCAGCCATGACTGAGTGCACAAACACAACATCTTGCTCATCTCCCTCTAGAATTCTGTATGTAGCTGCTGGAGATATTCAATCTGAGTATGAGGACTGGCACTGCTCCCCAATCCTGGAGTTGGTGGGAGGCTGTAATGATTTTCATAGCTAAACCAGGCAAACCACTGGCATGCATCTCTACCAGTCTTCCTACAGACCTATCTCCTTGCTGTCCTGTATTGGAAAGCTGATGTAAGTGTGTCTGTGCTTGCCAGAAGTTCTGTGGGATTCTGCCTTCCTAGGAGGCTGCTCAAACTAGGAACCTAGGGGCATTGTTCCTAAGCCACCCACTGCAAGGTGCATGGCATAGACATAGAAGTGACTTTTTAGGCCCTTCCTCAAAAGCAGAGACTCTTTAGTCTCTTCCAGGCCTCAGGCCTGGTCAAGTTCATTGATGAATCCTATAAGTAAGCCACAAGCAGGAACTATCATCGTATCATGGTCTAACAATATTATTATAAACAAGATGTTGATTGAAATCTTGAGTAGATGAGGAAATTAAAAAGGAACTTATTCAAAATTTTTGGTTTGTTAGTATGGCTTGTGGTGCCTGAATACGGATTGCAGTTGTGCTGTTGTGGGTAATGTGGGGTCAAGTTATGATTTAGGTAGTATATATTTCTTACATTTTTCTTCACTGTCTGTCTTGTGCAGACAGTCAATGTCCCTTGTAAGCAATCTCTTATTCAATTGTCTTAGTTTCTGTTTAACTTTACCTCCTTTTCACTTTATCTCTTTGAGATCCTTATGCTGCATCTTTGGTGCCAGCTTCAGCAGGCTAGATACTTGAGAGCTTCCACCCCTCATTGGTTATGAACAGTATTTTTTAGGAATTTTTGATAATTGAGAACTTCCACCTTGTTTGTGATGTTCATCTTGACTTTTGGTAGTGTGAAATAGCTTGATAGCTGAAGCGCTAGTAAACACGTGGCCACTGAACTGAACTTGTGAAAGATGTTAATTTTGGCAGCCACATGCTGTCTTTTCTGTCAAACTTTGCATGACATGCTGGACTTAGTAGTATAAATTTGAACATGAGCACCAGCCTAGGCACAAATCTCTAAAAACAATGGCAACAGCAGTGTGGTTCCATCCTAAGGCATCATGCAGGCAGTGGTACTACTAGTTTATAAAATGAATCTTTTCTTTCACTGACCATCTCTCACCCAGGTTTTTACGGTATTTTCAATCACACCACTCAACCTCTTTGCAAGAACTAATTGACACTTTGTGTATTTTGATTGTACAATATACCCTCTACAATTGTAATGGAAGCCAGGCCTCCCAATATTTCAGGCATTGGTGCCCCAGGTGTAGTTGAAGCCCCATGGTGTGATAGGACCTAGGTATGACCATGTGGTTGATTACCACTACCCTGTCCTCAGGCCTGGTCTCTCCCTGATGTGGACATGTAGTCTTCTTCATGGCTCTGTAATCTCCCTGATGTCTCCTCACTGGAACGGCCTTCTGCCTCCAGGCCTCCTGGAATTGTCATCTCCCTATACCCTCCTGGCTCCTTGGCATGATCTCCTGGCTCCTTGGCATGATCTCCTCCTGGTTCCTTGGCATGATCTTCTCCTGGCTCCTTGGCATGATCTTCTCCTGGCTCCTTGGCATGATCTTCTCCTGGCTCCTTGGCATGATCTTCTCCTGGTTCTTTGGCATGATCTCCTGGCTCCTTGGCATGATCTTCTCCTGGCTTCTTGGCAAGATCTTCTCCTGGCTCCTTGGCATGATCTTCTCCTGGCTTCTTGGCATGATCTCCTCCTGGCTCCTTGGCATGATCTTCTCCTGGCTCCTTGGCATGATCTTCTCCTGGCTCCTTGGCGTGATCTTCTCCTGGCTTCTTGGCTTCAAAATTTAAAATTCCCTACTAATACTGAAATCTTGCAGGTGCCTAAGTGACATATTTTCTTTTATTTGGAATCTTGCAGCTCAATCTTGCAATTTTGTTAACAATTAGACAGGAGAAAACTCATCTAGTGGGATTGTGGCAGTAGAGCTAAAGTTACAGGTTAGAAGGTAGGTACCTATATTTCATGCCTGCTTGATGTGCTCGCTTACTAGGCATGGTTAAGGAGAGCGTCTGGGTCTTTTTGTATCTCGGTTATTTGCATATGAATCATTTTGAAACTTGGTACACATATGTAAAACAAAAATCTAAGACCTTTTTGTTCATGTAAATTTTTTGAAAAAAATGAAAGAAAACATGAAATTTGTGAAAAATATCCTGTACTGTATAAATCTATCTCCTCTTAGGATTTTCAAGCTACACCATCAAAACACATATCGTTCATTGTGTAAAGACCATATCTATGATATTGCATTGGCATTTTTTGAAATTCTCATTTTTGTGGGTGGAGGGGCATCTTTGTAAATTTTTTGGAAATTTTTCGATGTTACCCCCTACCACCCCCCTTTTTGCAAAATAAAATCCAAACTATAACGAAATTTAAAAAACGTCAATGCAATTCTCTAGATCTATTTTGCAAATCGAATGGTATATCTCTCGTTGTTGTAGTTTCAAAACTGTAGGAGGAGATAGTTTTCCAGTGGCAATAAGTTGATTTTTCAGTAGAGCCTGACAAAGTTGCGTGCACCTCAATATAGACATTCAAGGGTGCAAGGTTGCAAGACTAGAAGATACAGTAGCTCAATTTCTGTCAAGGATGGTGCGAACAACGGCATGAGAACTACCCCGTACGGCTGCAGGTAGATAACTGAAACAGAGTGTTTAGACTAGCTATTTAAGTGCGCTGCTGGTAATTTCCGCCTATCTTAAATGTTAAAGAACTCCATCACCCCTAACCCTTTCACAATCAGTCATGAAGGCATAAATCAACCTACAGAGATGGTTTTGGTACCACTGGATAGGTCAGAATGTCAGCTTTAAGATTAGACTAAAAACCAGAAAAGCCAGAATTACACAATTTTGCCCAGATGCTCTCCTTAATATCTGTTCTTGGAATGCAACCAAACTCAAGATCTTGTAGCTCTCGCATTGCTGGTCTTTAAAACATACCTACCTATTTTATCATTATTTAGACACACAAGTGTGTCTAAATATGTGTGTCTAAAAATAAAGTGTCTAATAAATAAAGTGTGTGTAATGATTATTTAGACAAGTGTTGATGTCAAACAACACAATAGATGTACCCTATATGAACACTTCAGCTTGCAGAGACAAAGAGAGTTGTTCAACGAGTGCCTAAGACCAGACGCAAGGCTGCAAGCTGGCAATCAGCAGAACTTCTAATCCCACCTTGGCCAAGCATTGAATTTGAAGCTGTCTGTTATAGGGTGGATCCATATTCAAACTTTCTCATATGTAGGAACAATTAAATGTGACCTTCAATTAGGAATCATATTTTTAACAATTTGATTTGACCAGGCAAATTAGACAAGTGATAGGTACATTTTAGTGCTGAAAATAATGATCAATCTTTGAACCTGCCATGGAAATGGATGAAGAGTGCTTCAATTTACCAACAGGGTCTCCACCAATCAACTATCAAAGTTTTTGTGGTGGAAAGCACAGGTATTTATTATTTGTTAATTAACATATCAGGGACAAATATTTTATAAACTTTACAAGTAAATTAATTATGTTCTATTAAGGACTGTCTATGAATTCCAAACTGGAAATTTGGACAGAAGCTACCAGTGAATGAGACAAAATAGCCTGATTGCAGACAATTTCATTCTTTCTATGACCCTTCCCAAATTTTTTCATGTATAAGTTAAAAAAATTGTTACATTTAACTGTACATTTTCCTCAATTTTTTTTTTAATTTCTTGGGGAATTGTCATTTTTACCCTCTATTTATAGAAAATTCTGTGTGGTAGTATTCCAGTTTAATACAAATTATTCTAATTTTGCCACTAAGGGTTAAAACCACAAATTTCATGTATAAATTATACATTGATTATCATAATTAGTACCTACTACAGGTCTGGAAAATATCAACATTCAAGCTGCTTCTAGAATTTTGAAGCCAGTAATTTTGCATTTGTGAACATGAATTTATTTAATCTGCTGAATGAACAAATTTCTGAGCTGTGAATTTATCATTCTCACCATGAATTACTTCTCTGAGCCCTGAACTCATTTCAGGAGCTTTCATGCAAACATTCTACTTCAGATGCCTTCTCATCCTGCAATGTGACTGTCTGAGAGCAATTTCAAGATACTTGTTGCCACCTTTTCTCATCTGGCTTTAAAGTTTTATAATTATTGCATATATTGAAAGGAAACCCTGTTTCAATAATGTGTATGGTACTCTTCTTATCCCATTAAAATATCAATAGTTTTTATGTTCTGTCATTGTTTTCTGTTCACATATTTTAAATTTTGTATGTGCATATTTGGATTTCAGTAGCTGATTGTTTTCATATTCTTTGGGGTTCTTGAACTTATGAAGGAGCTAGTCTCTGTAAGGCCTCCATGACAATTGGTGGATTTACTTGGCATGTTCTTTGCTTTTCAATTCTTTGTGAACTTGCGATCCAAGAAGCCTAATGATATAAGTAATTATGAATGTATCATTTACCAGGCTAAAAATATTTTACTCTATAAATTATTTTCATGAACTAGGTATTTTTCAAAGAAGTGTATGGAGTAGAATTTAGTCAATTTCTCTTCAATTTAGATTCAATTTGCATGTGATTTTTTTTTAGCCTGTGTAGCATCCAATGTTTCATTTTAATGTTTCAATTCATCCTGTTATGTGAACCATGAAATTGGGAAGCCAATGTCAACAATGAGCCATCATCTCAGTACAGTTTATCATGTAAAATTGCTTGAATATATACCATCAAATGGGGTAAAAGGGACAGGCGGGGTAAAAAAGGACAGTCCTTCAACATTTTGTAGAAATGTTGTAGCAGCTAAACTAATTAAAATACTGTGAAATGGGGTAAAAAGGGATGGGTGGGGTAAAAAAGGACAGTCCTTCAACATTTTGTAGAAATGTTGTAGCAGCTAAACTAATTAAAAACTGTGAAATAGGGTAAAAAGGGATGGGCAGGGTAAAAAAGAATAGTCCTTCAACATTTTGTAGAAATGTGGTAGCAGCTAAACTAATTAAAATACTGTCAAATGGGGTAAAAAGGGACAGGCGGGGTAATAAGGGACAGTCCTCCAACATTTTGTAGAAATGTTGTAGCAGCTAAACTAATTAAAATACTGTAAAATGGGGTAACTTTGACCACTTTTTTTTTTCAAAATGATGCCATTTTTTTACTAGATAAGTTAAACTTAAATTGAAATGTGCAAAATACAGGTCTATACTCTAGCTTTACTCGCCATAAATTGCTGGCTCCTGCCTCTCTTAGTTTTGATGTAATTTAAAAAAAAGTGATGGTCTTAGTTACCCCAGCTCTTGGGGTTTCTTTGACCGAGTGGTAAAATCAATTTTATTTTTTAGTAAAATAACTCCAAATAACTCCAGGTTGTGGTGCATTGTAGCAGAACTCCTCTAGTTACATATACAAAAGACAGATTTTAGGAAAGTGTCATAGTTTGCAAATGGGGGGCGCTGCCCCCAAATGGGCAAAATGTGACCACCTAATGGCAGCTGTGACGGGGTAACATAGACCGGTTTGGAAATTAAGTTAAAATTACCATATATAAGACTCTGTAGAGTCTGAAACATAAAGAAAAAAACATTAATAGGTATATCAAACATAAAATATGTTATATAGGTACCTATGGTAATTTAAACTTAATTTCCAAGCCGGTCAATGTTACTCCGTCACGGCTGCCATTAGGTGGTCAAAGTTACCCCATTGGGGGCAGCACCCCCCATTTGCAAACTATGACACTTTTCTAAAATTTGTCTTTTGCATATGTAACTAGAAGAGTTCTACTACATGCAAATGCATCAAAACCTGGAGTTATTTTACCAAAAAATAAAAAAATTGGAGGGGGTACTCTGACAGGCTTTAAATAATAGCTCTTTTTTGTGGGTCACATTTTTAATTTTTTAACCTATTAGATATGCAAACTTTTTAAATCTTTCTATTGTGTTACGTAGCCTCAGTATTAGACCTTAGATGGCCATTGACAAAATTTTTCTATGTCGAATCGTTTTTGAGTTTTGGGGGTTTTGTTAAAAAAATGAAAAGTGGTCAAAGTAACCCCATTTTACGGTATCTATGCAGCATAAAGCAAGTTGAGAAATCATACATTTATTACCGTCAACCGGGGCTACTCGGGACAGTCCTCCGACACGGCGTAAAACTGTTTTAGTAGCAAAACTAATTGGAATATTGCAAAACTAAATTTAGTGGCATAAACATCAACATTTTTCCTATCTATGTAGTATAAAGGAAGTTCAAAAAAACTACATTTACTAGCTTTGAAAAATTCATGAAAAAATGGTGAAAAACAATATTTTGAAAAGTTACTTCTTCTAAGGTCTGCAGTAAAAAAATATTTGCCCTATTAAAAAACTTTGCTTAGAGAAAAGTGGCAGACAAGTGTCAGCATGAAAACTTTATTTGCAGAATTTACATACCTCAATCCAAAAAAAAATGGCAGCCATTTTCGCACAGTGGGGCTACTCGGGACACCTTCCGGGGCTATTCGGGACACACCCAAAAACACATTTACAGTAGAACCTCAGTTAGCAAAGGCTCCAGTTAAGAAAAAAATTGATTAAAAACAAAGAATATTGATTACATTAACCTCGCTCAGCAAAAAATTTCACTTATCAAAAAATTAGTGCATCATTGGTCATCAAAAAATTGTGCATAGAATGTCATATATAGAATTGTGCACCAGGCATCATAGAATGAAAAGTAATTGACCTAAACTATGATTTATTTCTCTAAAACATATGATGGTTGTCACTAAAACATTCCTGTTTCAGGTATGTTTTTCACGATCTTTTTTTATAGTAAATTCACTTAACTCAATTGAAATGGTGTGAAATTACAAGCCATCCTGTAAGCTTACATACAGAAGAAATGCTACATGGCTGCAGATATGAAGCTTGCAGTGGACAAGGTTGTTGTCAATGCTCAATGGCATGTCCATGGATATGGTAATATCACATTAATAATATGGTAATTAATGTATATGGTAATATCATCAATAAAGGGAAAACAAGTCAAAATCATAGAAAATGTCATTTATTCTACCTCTACATCATCTACAATGAAAGAGGAGGACTTCAGAGTACTGTTAGTAATGGATGAGTACACTCTGCATGCTTCAAATGTTTTAAAATTAAGTTTTATTCCAAGTGTCCTGAGTAGCCCCGTTCGATGGGGCTATTTGGGACACTCATTTTTTGCTTCTGGCACCTTACAAATAACATATCAAATTTTTTTGGAAAAGCCATGTGATAGCCCTTGCAAAGAGCTTTGAAATGAGCCTAAACTTGTTTATGAAATGTTTTATGGTAAGAAGTTATGAATGAAAAATGTTCAAAATCGTCCCGAGTAGCCCCGGTTGACGGTACCTCTAAAAAATCCCTGAAAAAAATTGTGAAAAGTGAGATTTCATAGGAGTACCTCTGCTAAGGTCTGTAGCAGAAAAAATATTGGTTGTATTGAAAAATTTTACTTACATAAAAGTTGCATAGGTACTGGTGTTGGCTTAAAACGTGACTGACTGAATTTGCATATCTCATTCCAAGAAAAAATGGCAGCCATATCCGCAAAATGGGGTAATATGGGACACCCCCTCCTGGGGTAATAAGGGACAACCCTAAAATTGCATTTACAGTAGAACCTTGGTTAGCAAAAGCTCCAGTTGATGAAAAAAAGTCATCAACAAAGAATTTTGATTACATTTACCTTGCCCAGTGAAAAAATTTCACTTAATGGATAAGGTAATATTATATCAATGAAGAAAAATACAGTAAAAATCACAGAAAACTTCATTTATTCTACATTTACATCATCTACAAAGGAAGAGGAGGACTTCAGAGTACTGTTAGTAATAGATGAGTACACTCTGCATGCTTCAAATGTTTAAAATTGAGTTTTATTTCAAGTGTCCCTTTCTACCCATTTCCAGATTAATTCAGGAGCCTTTTATATTGCGTCTAGCATCTTACTAATAGCATATGGAATTTTTTTTGGAGATGCCATATGATAGCCCTTGCAAAGACCTTTAAAATGAGCCCAAACTTGTTTATGAAGTGTTTCATGGTAAGAAGTTATTAACAAAAAACACTTGAGACTGTCCCTTATTACCCCGTTTGACGGTATGTGAACGTCAATTGTGAATATAGGTATATGTGAACAACTATGGTAGTACCAGAATCCAGCCTGAACTGAGCCTCCAAAATTCAAAATTTATTATACCACTAAAATTCTTTAGCTTCTGGAATTGAATTCAAACAAATTTGTCCTTAGAACTGTAAAGTGGAACATTGAACAGCATGGAAAATATGTTGATATGTTAATGACTTGCATAGGCTCAGTGCTTCCAGTGGAAAAACCCAAAATAGTCAAATTGATAAATTTTAGAACATCATTTAGCAACTACTAATGCAATTTTCTGAGCAACTCTTTAAAAGAAGTTTCCTGTGCTGATTGGCAACTGGAGATCATTACATTTTCAAAAATCTATGACAGATGCCATCAATTATAAATTTTTAATAACAGAATGGCAATTAATGTTGCATTTGATATGTAAGAGGGTGCTTTTTATGAGGCTTTTCTTTTTAAATATGTTTATATATATAACCTTATGTTGATTCGGCAAGTGTTAGTGATAGGATTAATTAAGGAACAGTGGAAAAAATAATAGAATACTATTTGATGATTATATATCATCAAACAGGGTAAAAAGGGACAGTTTTGAGCATTTTTTTGTTAATAACTTCTTACCATGAATTATTTCATAAACAAGTTTGGGCTCATTTTAAAGGTCTTTGCAAGGGCTATCGTATGGCATCTCCAAATAAATTCCAAATGCTATTTGTAAGGTGCTAGACGCAATATAAAAGACTCCTGAATTAATCTAGAAATGGGGTAATTAGGGACACTTGAGATAAAACTCAATTTTAAAACGTTTGAAGCATGCAGAGTGTACTCGTGTATTACTAACAGTATACTCTGAAGTCTTCCTCTTTCATTGTAGATGATGTAAATGTAGAATAAATGACATTTTCTGTGATTTTTACTTGTTTTTCCTTTATTGATATGATATTACCATATTCATTAATTACCATATTATTAATGTGATATTACCATATCCATGGACATGTCATTGAGCATTGACAACAACCTTGTCCACTGCAAGCTTCATATCTGCAGCCATGTAGCATTTCTTCTGTATGTAAACTTACAGGATGGCTTGTAATTTTGCACAATTTTAATTGAGTAGAGTGATTTTACTATAACAAAAAAGATTGTAAAAATATAGGTACCTGAAACAGGAAGGAATATTTTAGTGACAACCATCATATTTTTTGGAGAAATGAATCATAGTTTAGGTTAATTATTTTTCATTCTTTGTTGTCCAGTGCTCAATTCTGTTTGTGACATTCTATGCACAATTTTGTGCTGACTGATGCAGTAATTTTTTGTTAAGTGAAATTTTTTTCACTGAGCAAAGTAAATGTAATCAAATTTCTTTGTTGGTAATTGATTTTTTCATTAACTGGAGCCTTTGCCAACCAAGGCTCTACTGTAAATGCAGTTTTAGGGGTGTCCCTTATTGCCCTGAGGGGTGTCCCTTATAACCCCATTTTGCGGAAACGGCATTCATTTATTCTTGGAATGAGATACCGTATGCAAGTTCTGTCAATCACATTTTTAAGCCAACACCAGTGTGCAACTTTTATGTAAGTAATACGACAAATATTTTTTCTGCTAAAGACCTTAGCAGAGGTACTTCTCCAAAATCTCACTTTTCACACTTTTATTCAGGGATTTTTTAGAGGTAATAAATGTATGATTTCTCAACTTGCTTTATGCTGCATAGATAGTAAAAATGTTGAACTTTACGCCACTATTTTTAGTTTTGCAATATTTTGATTAGTTTAGCTGCTACAACCTTTCTACAAAATGTTGGAGGACTGTCCCTTTTTATCCCGCCTGTCCCTTTTTACCCCGTTTGACGGTATGCCTTACAATTTATGGAAATGAAGGCTTGTAGGTCAGAGCTTACACCTACTCTTCTGTTATCAGCTTGCAACTTACAAGACAGAACGCAACCATTACCCTTCTCTGTCTGAATCGATTTTATGGTTAATTACAGAGCTTTATATGTTTAGCCTAACTGACGTCGCATAGACAAAAAGCTGCTATTTGATGAACAAGGAAATATCAAATGAGGAAGTTACTTGAATGCAGTAGAAGTGATGATAAATTTAGATTTACCGGTAATGTTCCTTTGACAGATATCAGTTTGGAGATAATTTTGAACCATTTCTCTTCAGCATTACACATACCTATATATAGGTACCTATATATTTATATATTTCACATATGTACTACTAAGAAACTGAAATGTACCTATTTTAAAAAAATTCTTAACAGTTTACATTAAATCAAAGCTTCCATAGTACTTTTAATGTTTCATCATTTTCCCTATGACATAAGGAAACTAATAATCCAATTGTGTATTTGAGGAATTGATTACCTATGTTATTCCCTGCACAGGTTAATCCATTTGGACTTGAAAGGTGCACCTCCAAAAGTTTCCTACTTGAAAGAAGTAAGCAACTTAATTTTAGTTGAATCCTTTCTTTTACATTGCAGTATTTTCTTTCTTATATTTTCAAAGGAAGAAAATTTTGCATGCCCTTACAGATTTTAATGAGTATGAGCCTTGATTGTTCTTTATTTATTTAACAAGCATTTAATTGGCCTCATTTACATTTTTCTCCTGCATCGATAGTAATGGGGTGTATAAATATTTATGGGTTTCTTTCCTATGTAAGAACACAATGACTGTCAAATTTTTCCTTGTTTAAATACAGTTTACTTAGTATTTACAATATTTGGAATTGTTAGTCCTGCCAACTGTGAACTGTACTGATTTTAATAAGAATTATTACTGCCTATTTCTTAGTCCTAAAGCTGATTGATATTTGTTGCAATACCTGTGCAGCAGCTCATGGTGAGATAAACAATCTGCTCTGTTCAGTTGTTCAAGGGACATCTATGTACATTTTCTATATATATTAATAACATGTTATAGAAAAAATATTTTTCTCCCATAATCCATGTATAATTTTCCGATCTGATGTGAATAGGTACTTCAAGTATGAATTTGCTTGTTGAACAAATTTAAACAACAGTTGCCACCAGAATCACTGCTGTATTTGAGTAGGATAATTCTGAAAATGCTCTTGTTTACTGTTGCTTTTGTTGCCAGCTGCTGCCAGTGTTGAAGAAACATGGAGCCACAGGACTTCTCATTGAGTATGAAGACACTTTCCCCTACAGCGGCTCTCTGAGACACCTTAGAAAAGTTCCTGATGAACTGCCTGACTCTTGTGGGTCTCCTGATGCTCAGGAGCCTCCACCACAACAGTCAACTTGGTCAGTACAGTCAACAAGTCAATATAAAAAGTCAACAAGTCAACTGACACTTGGCACGTTTTCAGCGGGTCTGCGTATCAAACCAGATATAGGGTTTTGACTGGTCTGCGTGTCAAACCAGATATAGGGTTTTGACTGGTCTGCATGTCAGACCAGATATGATTTTGACTGGTCTGCGTGTCAAACCAGATATAGGGTTTTGACTGGTCTGCATGTCAGACCAGATATGATTTTGACTGGTCTGCGTGTCAAACCAGATATAGGATTTTGACTGGTCTGCATGTCAGACCAGATATAGGGTTTTGACTGGTCTGCATGTCAGACCAGATATAGGGTTTTGACTGATCTGCATGTCAGACCAGATATAGGGTTTTGACTGGTCTGCGTGTCAGGCCAGATATAGTGTTTTGACTGGTCTGCTTGTCAGACCAGATATAGGGTTTTGACTGGTCTGCGTGTCAGACCAGATATAGGGTTTTGACTGGTCTGCGTGTCAGACCAGATATAGGGTTTTGACTGGTCTGCGTGTCAGACCAGATATAGGGTTTTGACTGGTCTGCGTGTCAGACCAGATATAGGGTTTTGACTGGTCTGCGTCGATGCGGTAGTTTGTAGATCATTTGTACCAGTCGTGCTGTGAAATCGTCCTAGCGTGAAATCGTCGTGAAATCGTCCTTTCTCAGACCAGATATATGTAGGGTTTTGACTGGTCTGCATGTCACACCAGATATAGGCCACTGCTTTTTTATTGAAATTTTCTCACTGAAAGCTGATGCATTGGACTAAGTTTGGTCTCTTCTATATCATTTTTTCAATGTTTTTTTATCAAATCATGCTCTCTTTAATAATATACAAGCCCAGATATATACCTGCATGGTTAAAAATTGCTCAGTAATGAAAGAGAAGAAAGCTAATTATAATAATGCAGGGCTGCTCTCTACAATCTTAGATTTATTTTGTATAAGATGCTGATTAATTAGTGTTATTAATATTAATATGTCTATACTTGTTTTAGAACCATAGAACCTTTTGATGAATTATCGAAATCAATGACTGCAGTTTTGGGAAATCAAATCAAATTGAAGTTTTTATTGCCAAATTTACCTCCAACAACCCTGGCAACATAAAGAAATAAGTTATCACGTACTATTCAGTGTAAGTGAATAATTTAAAAATGGGAAGAATTTCTCAAGTTTATATTTATAATTTTTTATATGAAATTTTATATATAATTATATGACAGAATTTGTATGTTTTCTGTCAACAGCGATGGCAGCGCCAAAACTTCATGTGAAGACTTGATGAAAAGCAACCCACATCCTCCATATTATTTGCCTGAGGAGGTCGCAGAAATTCTTGAGTGCGCTGCCTCCAATGATCTCGAAGTGATACCACTCGTGCAAACATTCGGCCACATGGAGGTACTCTTATTGTACCATTGATCTATTATTATTATTAGTGTTATAGTGTACCAGTGACAGCATACAAGACAGGCCTGTTGTGGCCTGTCCCCGTTTCTTGTACTTTTTATGCCTTGTCCACAGGAGATAAAAAAAATTGGCATTTTGAACAGATTTCATCATTGAACCTAATCCCACTCAACAATGATGATTATGTCTGTGTGATTATAGTGCTGATTAAACTGAGGGTGGAGACATTATCTTGAGTGAGGGAAAGTCAATAGCTTCTGTTCAATGTTATGTTATGATGTATAAAGTTGCTCATGTCACTCCCATTTGATGACATTAAATCATTCATTAAGTTGTCTACTGTGGTGAACATGCTTGTGTTTCTACTTTCTAACAAAGTTATTAGGAACTGCCTAGTCCTGTAACTCCTCCCTTTATGCTCTGTGACCCTAGAATAAAGATTGCGTGACGTCAGTTATTGTTAGTAATTAGTAGCGCATGATCTGAAAATAAGAGCTATTATCACTGGACTGAAGGGCATCCCTCTGGAGGAGGAGGTTATAATAAGTGCCGTAGCAATACGTATGTAACATGTGCCGTAGCAATATGTAACATGTGCCGTAGCAATATGTAACATGTGCCGGAGTAACATGTGCCGTAGCAATATGTAACATGTGCCGGAGTAACATGTGCCGTAACATGTGCCGTAGTAGCATGTGCCGTAACATGTGCCGTAACATGGGCCGTAGCAATATGTAACATGCGCCGTAACATGTGCCGTAGTAGCATGGGCCATAGTAACATGTGCCGTAACATGTGCCGTAACATGGGCCGTAGCAATATGTAACATGCGCCGTAACATGTGCCGTAGTAGCATGTGCCATAGTAACATGTGCCGTAACATGTGCCGTAACATGGGCCGTAGCAATATGTAACATGCGCCGTAACATGTGCCGTAGTAGCATGGGCCATAGTAACATGTGCCGTAACATGTGCCGTAACATGGGCCGTAGCAATATGTAACATGCGCCGTAACATGTGCCGTAGTAGCATGTGCCATAGTAACATGTGCCGTAACATGTGCCGTAACATGGGCCGTAGCAATATGTAACATGCGCCGTAACATGTGCCGTAGTAGCATGTGCCATAGTAACATGTGCCGTAACATGTGCCGTAACATGGGCCGTAGCAATATGTAACATGCGCCGTAACATGTGCCGTAGTAGCATGGGCCATAGTAACATGTGCCGTAACATGTGCCGTAACATGGGCCGTAGCAATATGTAACATGCGCCGTAACATGTGCCGTAGTAGCATGTGCCATAGTAACATGTGCCGTAACATGTGCCGTAACATGGGCCGTAGCAATATGTAACATGCGCCGTAACATGTGCCGTAGTAGCATGTGCCATAGTAACATGTGCCGTAACATGTGCCGTAACATGGGCCGTAGCAATATGTAACATGCGCCGTAACATGTGCCGTAGTAGCATGGGCCATAGTAACATGTGCCGTAACATGTGCCGTAACATGGGCCGTAGCAATATGTAACATGCGCCGTAACATGTGCCGTAGTAGCATGTGCCATAGTAACATGTGCCGTAACATGTGCCGTAACATGGGCCGTAGCAATATGTAACATGCGCCGTAACATGTGCCGTAGTAGCATGTGCCATAGTAACATGTGCCGTAACATGTGCCGTAACATGGGCCGTAGCAATATGTAACATGCGCCGTAACATGTGCCGTAGTAGCATGGGCCATAGTAACATGTGCCGTAACATGTGCCGTAACATGGGCCGTAGCAATATGTAACATGCGCCGTAACATGTGCCGTAGTAGCATGTGCCATAGTAACATGTGCCGTAACATGTGCCGTAACATGGGCCGTAGCAATATGTAACATGCGCCGTAACATGTGCCGTAGTAGCATGTGCCATAGTAACATGTGCCGTAACATGTGCCGTAACATGGGCCGTAGCAATATNGAGGTGAGTGTGGGGGGCATGGATGAGGTGAGTGTGGGGGCATGGAGGAGGTTCCTCTACTGCAGGTGCTGCTGGGTGCGTGCAGCAGGTGCCAGGTGTCCAGCAGGGAGGAGGTGTTCCTAGAGTGGGTCATGCTGGTGGGGGGATGGGTCAGGAGGAAGTACCCCCACGTCACCCCCATCATCTGGGATGACATGCTCAGGGGCATGACATCCCAGCGCCTGAACGGTGAGTCATGCATACCATGAGTATAATAGTGATCATGAAATTAATTAATGAAATCCACATGAGTAACGCATGACGCTATGAAGTAAAGCTAAGTTCCTTGCCATCAATTGAGCATCTAAATATGATCTGTGTTCGAACACTTGGATCGGTTCAGTTCTGTTTATTTCTCAGTGCAGCGATATAATTACTTCTTATCTAATTGGTTACCGTACTCGTTATTTTATTCTGAGTGATGCTATTTTATTCATTAGTTCACTTGACTCATTTATTCATTCTATTGGCTTAACTTATTAAGCATTTCTGGTGCTGCAGTGAGCGGCGTGGGCGCCACCGTGGACGTCATGATATGGAAGTATGACGCCGGCGTCCTCCTCCTCCCCGACGGTGGGTTCCGCCCTCTGGTCCCGCCCTCATGTCCCGCCCTCTGGTCCCGCCCTCTGGTCCCGTCCTCTTGTCTCGCCCTCTTGTCTCGCCCTCTTGTCCCGCCCTCTGGTCCCGCCCTCATGTCCCTGTCTCTTATACACATCTAGATGTGTATAAGAGACAGCCTCTGTTCCCGCCCACTGGTCCCGTCCTCTTGTCCCGTCCTCTTGTCCCGTCCTCATGTCCCGCCCTCAAGTCCCATCTTCTTGTCCCGCCCTCTTGTCCCGCTCACTGGTCCCTCCCTCTAATCTCGCCCCTGTATCGTCCCTACCTCTGAGCCCGCCCCTGTATCATCCCTCCCTCTGACCCCGCCCCTGTATCATCCCTCCCTCTGAGCCCGCCCCTGTATCATCCCTCCCTCTGAGCCCGCCCCTGTATCATCCCTTCCTCTGAGCCCGCCCCTGTATCATCCCTGTCTCTTATACACATCTAGATGTGTATAAGAGACAGCCGTAGCAATACGTATGTAACATGTGCCGTAGCAATATGTAACATGTGCCGTAGCAATATGTAACATGTGCCGGAGTAACATGTGCCGTAGCAATATGTAACATGTGCCGGAGTAACATGTGCCGTAACATGTGCCGTAGTAGCATGTGCCGTAACATGTGCCGTAACATGGGCCGTAGCAATATGTAACATGCGCCGTAACATGTGCCGTAGTAGCATGGGCCATAGTAACATGTGCCGTAACATGTGCCGTAACATGGGCCGTAGCAATATGTAACATGCGCCGTAACATGTGCCGTAGTAGCATGTGCCATAGTAACATGTGCCGTAACATGTGCCGTAACATGGGCCGTAGCAATATGTAACATGCGCCGTAACATGTGCCGTAGTAGCATGGGCCATAGTAACATGTGCCGTAACATGTGCCGTAACATGGGCCGTAGCAATATGTAACATGCGCCGTAACATGTGCCGTAGTAGCATGTGCCATAGTAACATGNCTGGCAGAGGTAACGCTAATGAGAGGGAATGTTGTGCTCTGACAGGCTGGCAGAGGTAACGCTAGTGAGAGGGAATGATGTGCTCTGACAGGCTGGCAGAGGTAACGCTAGTAAGAAGGGATATTGTGCTCTGACAGGCTGGCAGAGGTAACACTAGTGAGAGGGAATGATGTGCTGTGACAGGCTGGCAGAAGTAACGCTAGTGAGAGGGAAAGATGTGCTCTGACAGGCTGGCAGTAGTAACGCTAGTGAGAGGGAATGATGTGCTCTGACAGGCTGGCAGAGGTAACGCTCGTGTGAGAGAGTACTTTTTCGTGCATCATATTCAGGCGTCGATGTAGGCTTGTTCCGCAGCTACTAGACTTGCTTATTACCGTACGTTTCAACTAAGGAATTCTCTTTTATGGCCAATTTAGTATTGAATCGATTAATTCAAAAGGTTTATGTATAGCAATAATATTGAACAAGGGTTGCTCTTCCTGAGGCAAGTGCCAGTGAAGTATTTGCTTGCCCCAAGCGTTGAGTTGGTCGGCAGGTATGACCACTACGCCGTGCTGTGCGAGCTGTTGCCTGCTGCTGTGCCGTGCGTCGTGCTGTGCCTTAACGTGCTGGAAGCTGGCGAGTTCACCTCTCCCATCCACTGGGCGGCGTCCCGCGCACTGGGCTCCTCCTCTCTTCTCGCACTCTCGCCTGCCTTCAGGTAGCGTAGCGCCGCCTACAGGTAGTGTGGCGCCGCTTACAGGTAGCGTAGCGCCGCCTACATGCAGCGTAGCGCCGCCTACATACACGGTAGCGCCGCAGAGGTAATGTGGCGCCGCCTACAGGTAGTGTGGCGCCGCCTACAGGTAGCGTAACGCCGCCTACATGCAGCGTAGCGCCTCCTACGGGTAGTGTGGCGCCGCCTACAGGTAGCTAGCGCCGCCTGCAGGTAGTGTGGCGCCGCCCACAGGTAGCGAGCGACGCCTACAAGCAGCGTAGCGCCGCCTAAAAGCAGCGTAGCGCCGCCTACATGCAGCGTAGTGCCGCCTACAGGTAGTGTGGCGCCGCCTACAGGTAGCGTGGCCCCGCCTACAGGTAGCATGGGCCTGCCCTAATCCAGCCGTGTTACTCATTCACTACTGATGGAGCTATAAATTCAAGGTAGGAACATCTGGGATTTCTTCAAAATCACTAGAAGAAATTATAGTGTTAAATTTCGGTGATTACTTGGAAAATTTTTAAGAAATATCAATGAATTTTGTACCTCACGACCAACTCAACCTTTGTATATATTATATGCTTAACAGCGCCCATAGATGACATGCTGGTATGTATATTAAATGCTGGCATATAATATGCTGGTATATATGCTCGCTATGTGCAGGCCGCAGCCCGTCGAGGCTGACCTGCAGTTCCCGGGCGCCGCCCTACACGCCGCCCTGCAGGCCTGGGCCAACCTCAGAGCAGCCTGCAGCGCCCACGCCAACTCTGAGATGTTGGTACCTCTGTGGTGACTAGCTCTGTGATGTTGGTACCTCTGTGATGACCAGCTCTGTGATGTTGGTACCTCTGTGATGACCAGCTCTGAGATGTTGGTACCTCTGTGGTGACCAGCTCTGTGATGTTGGTACCTCTGTGGTGACCAGCTNTGACGTGTGTGTGCAGAGTGACGTGTGTGTGCAGAGTGACGTGTGTGTGCAGAGTGACGTGTGTGTGCAGAGTGACGTGTGTGTGCAGAGTGACGTGTGTGTGCAGAGTGACGTGTGTGTGCAGAGTGACGTGTGTGTGCAGAGTGACGCGTGTGTGCAGATTGACGCATGTGTGCAGAGTGACGTGTGTGTGCAGAGTGACGTGTACATGTGCAGAGTGACGTGTGTGTGTGTGCAGATTGACGCATGAGTGCAGAGTGACGCATGTGCAGAGTGACGTGTGTGTGTGTGCAGATTGACGCATGTGTGCAGAGTGATGTGTGTGCAGAGTGACGTGTACATGTGCAGAGTGACGGGCTGGTATCACAGCTACCGGCGACGTCTGAGGTCCGTGGCGCCTGCGATGCTTGACGCCGTGCGCACGCAGGGGCTCAGGTGCGTAGACTTGAGAGGCCAACTTGTTGATTCGCAGCAACATTGCTTCCTGTATGCTTCATAAGTCATTACAATTAGTATATTTAAATAGGGAGTTAGCAGCGTTAACATTACTTTCTATGTGCTCTTAAATTCATTAAAATTGGTTTATTTAAATTGGGAATTAGCAGCGTTAACATTACTTCCTATCCACATGTGTGCAGGTTGCTGCAGTCAGTTGCTGCAGCTGAAGTGCAGCTCGCCACAGAGCTGCTTCACGTGTACGACGCTCACACAACACGCGAGTGGCTGGAGACGCACGTGACGCCACTCAAGAGGAAGCTACGCGAGCAACAGAAACAATGCCAGGACCTCAGCAGGCATGTGGGCGTCGCGTCATGTGGTCCCCAGGCTTGCACTTGTTGCGGTCCAGGAGAGCAGGTCAAGTCGCCAGACGACTAAATCACGCGTCCATTGTCTGCTAGTCCGTAAGTCGCTAGGCGACTAAATCACGCGTCCATTGTCTGCTAGTCCGTAAGTCGCCAGACGACTAAATCACGCGTCCATTGCCTGCTAGTCCGTAAGTTGCCAGGCGACTAAATCACGCGTCCATTGCCTGCTAGTCCGTAAGTTGCCAGGCGACTAAATCACGCGTCCACTGTCTGCTAGTCCGTAAGTCGCTAGGCGACTAAATCACGCGTCCATTGTCTGCTACATTGTAGATCGTAAGATGCCGGTTACTAGGGAACTCTCGTGTGTGAAGTTCTAAAATGGGCTTGAAATCTGGGGGCAGCAAACCGCGTGCATGATGCAGGGCTGCAGGCCTTAAAAAGGATGCTGGGCAGCATAGACAACGTAAGTTGCGAATTAGAGGAGCGCAATCAATGTCACAACTCCTTTATGGGCAGTACTACTCCTTACAAGTGCCCACAGCTGCAGATATTTACTATAATAAACCATGTGATAAATGTAAAGTAACAACCTTCAGTTGAAGGTGCCACGGATTGTCAGAATTGTGAAGACCACCCTACTTATTTCTCATAGTGTTAATGTCACTCGTTAGCTTAAATCGCAAATTAACAAGAAATTGAGAAGTAAGGAGAAATCTAGAGAAGTTCACAGTATCTTGATAAAAACGTTTTGTAGTTCAGCTACATCGTCAGTTCGAAGAATCTAATATGCAGATGAAATCACAAGTTAGTACAATTGAAATTTAAATAATTGAAATTAGAACCTAAATTTACAAATAAAAGACAAAACGAGAGAAAAACTGCATAACTTTTCTACTCGCAATCTCAAGTGGATATGAGCTAAAAGCTGGATTCAAAGTGGGGCTCTGTTTAAAAATGTACAGTGATTCTAAAATACGCAGATCTGAAGTACCGGAGTTGGAAGCTAACTCCTCAAAGTCACTTAGATACCGGAACATTACACTGCTCGGCGTGCATGTGCACAGCGGAATGATGAAGCGATAGTAACTGCCCTGTCTTGCAACTCCTACCCTAATGCTCTGCGATCCTAGAATAAAGATTGCGTGACGTCATCCCAACGTACGCAGATGCACATAGTGCAGAACAATATTGATAAACTAGAGACAAACGCACATGAACAGGGATCATGCCTTTGTAGCTGAAGAAAGAGCCCATTTTGAAATTGTTTGCCAGCAGAAGTATTTCAAGAACAAGACTTTTAATTCTCTAAAGTCTAAACATAGCTTCGGACGCAGGGCGGAAGCATGGAAAGAACAATAAACAACGTTCCTATTTCTTGCTTTGGGCAGTCACAATACTTGTTAGCAATTCTTGGGGGTAGTTACTGTCGCTATCACCCCTCCTTACGGCTGTGCGCACTCACGCTGATCAGTGTGCTGTTCCTGTATCTGTCAGCGAGATTATAAGGTGTTAGCTTCCACTTCCGCTACTTCAGATCTGCGTATTTTGGAATCCCTGTACATTTTTACGAATTTAGGTTGTAATTGCAGTCCCTTGATTTTAAATAGTACTAACTTATGATTTTATCTCATTTAAGAATCTTTGAACTGACGATGGAGCTGGACTCTGAAACGTTTATATAAAGATACTATGAACTTAGGCTGAATTTTCTTTGCTTTTAAATTCTTTGTCCTCAGGAGTAGTATCGGCGTTGAATCTAGGCCTGGTTTTGGCTGTCGCCGATGCTTGTACTTTTCGTCGTGACTTTCTAAATGAGAATATATATACGGGTGCATAACTTCATCTAGTCTATTCTTGTACGCTTTCATACCCGGATTGTGAACAATACGAGCTGTGGGTCTTTTCCACATGTCGGCGACTCGAGGCGAGAAGTATTGTCGCATTGATGCTGATTCTTACTTCATATTCTGGGAATCCTTCGGACATGGTTGAACTAATATAAGGTTGGCCTACGGCGATGACGATTTTTCGCCGTTCTGCGCATCTCCAGAGTTACGTCACTGTGGGCACAAAATGTAAATAGTGTAGATCAACACATTGTTTTTATGTCATCTTTGGAAGCATTTAAAAAAAATTTCCTTCTTCAAATTGGCCCCGAAAAATTGTTTACTGCATGCAACTAGTCTTGTCTTAATCAAAACCATAGTTAAAAATCAGTTTGACGTCACAAGAGCCAAAGTGACGTCACAACAAATGACATCCGCAAGGCGCAGCTGCACGTGGGTCAACTTTATATTGGTTCAACCATGTCTTCGGGTATCTTGTATAAGCCATGATTATACGTGGATACTCCGATGAGGTCGGCACGCAGACATCGATAACAAAGACTTGGAAGCTTCGTGAGGTCAGCCATTCGGAGACTTTCGTCGAAGTGTTTCACGCAGGAAATCTGTAATATCTCATTACATTGAGATGGAAGGCGATACTGTTAGCACATAATTTGGTATTGACTGTCAAGCTTTAGTGGTGTGAAGTTAATGCTTAAGCATAGTTTGGTTTCGATTGCCACGGTTTGGTGGCGTGCATTTGATTCAAATATATATTTTTCAAACCTATTATGTATTTAAATATTCCTAATTAATTTGAAGCAGTAAGCGGCGATCAAAGAAGAGATATTCGCTCATTTTTCTTCAGGGTTATTCTTGTCTAAGGCCTATTCGCATCAATGAAAGTGAAAATCAATCCTTTTACTCGTGCGACGTAACCTTAAGTTAGGTTAATTAACATTGCATCACTCACCAATTATTTACAAGCGAGTTTCGTTTCATAGTAATAATTTTGATGAAATGTATTCCAATCATCCCATAAAGAGACACTTCTGATAATACATATCAACTTTGCATTTATGGCCTAACGTTTATGTTGCGGACTATTTAGTGCTTTTCAGCGCAACTGTTATCTAAGGCAGGATTAATTGAATACGCGTGCATCAGGTTACTTTCTTTTTCTTCATAATCCCAGATGACACGGTTTCTGGAAAGAAACCAGTACAAATACAAAATTTTATACTAAAACAAAAAGGGTCATTGAATATATAAACAATATTCGCAAATATTAAACTTTACAGTAAATTACCAAGGCTTTCTAAACGGCAAAGAAATATTCTAACAGGAGAACTAAGCTCACCAAAATTCGTTCCTGAATAAAGTTTGGTCTGTACTGCGCAGCCGACAGGTGACTAATGAGCGAAAATGTTCAGCAAGACCACGGAATTAAACTACTATTCTAAAGCAAATGTTGCGTTCACAACAGTTTAGTTTAGAGAAAGATAACCATACTTTAAATCAGTGGTTCCCAAAATGGGCGATATCGCCTCCTAGGGGCGGTGGAAAGATTTTGGGGGACGGTAAGGAAGAAGAGGCCAGTAGGGAGGCGATAGGGGGGCGGTAGTCCGGAGTCGATGTCAGAAGTTCGAACGTTTGTTTGGCGATTTGTACACAACACGTGCAGCACATGACTCCCAGCGATGGTTTTTTCACCCAGATCTGTTTTTTAACTTCTCCTTGGTCTACGTCTCGGACAAATTAACGGCCGGACTCGCGGCCGGTCTCACGGCCAATTTCCAAATTAAATGATCAAGGAATATCTCTCAAACTAATGAACTTAACTCGATGAAACTTAGTACACGTATTCACGTATTCATTAGGANTTGAACTATATAATTATATATATTGAAGAAATTGAATGTTCTATAACATGTCAGAGTCGAACTGTTTTCTAGAATTAGTGGTGTAGAGTCAACGTTAACCGTGGTTGAACTATATATACTAGTTCAACTATGACGTAAACAACCAACTGTAATTTACAAGCTAGCGGGAATCGGTAAACACGCCAAACTCAAAATGCCTCAGTGACCAGTAAGAAATGATCCATTTCGATATTTTGAATTTAAATGAATACTATAATATACTACTCAACTTATTGTTAGTTATGTATGGTGCTGAATTGATCTCTATGCATAATCCTTATAGAAGGACGATTTTTTCTTTACTTTTTCCTAACTACAAAGTTTAAAGATGAAAACATGAAACAAACGTTGCAACAGCTCTAGGTCGGACGGTCGGATTGCTGTTTCAGTGTGTGCCACCCTTATAGGCTGTAAGTTTGTAATCCGGCGTCGAGACTACTTCAGTAGTGAGTATTTGGAACTTTTTATTTATTTTTTTATCACTGCCTAATATAACATCAAACGCTGATGAGGCGCGGGCGGTAAACGCCCAAAAAAAAGTCAATTCATACTTTAGATTTGATACATTTTGGACCTAATATTTGCAAGAAAGGCTATAAAAACAATCGTTCAGGGATTAGTCTCATTTCTGCAAAACTCAACTTTTTATATATATTCCCTACTGTGGGTCGCCTGCCAAAGACGACCACTGCCCCGGATGTAATGGACCATCATGATTCCTGCCTTCTGGAACGCAGCCTTCAACACTTCTGGCCGGGCAATCATATAGGCAGCCGAAAGCCACCAGACAGAACGAATCAATTGAATTGGACCAATCAGCCCTCAGGAGAAACAGTCGGTGATCGAATGGCCTAGCATCGTCCGCCGTACCGCGAAGTGGCCAGAGTATGAAGTGATGCTTCGACGCAATGTTCAGTGGTGGACTGCTACTCGACCTTGTGTGTGGGGGTGTGGAGCTCAAAAGATTCAAAACAGAATGGCTTTAAGGGTCGGCTACGGAAAGCAGGTTCCATTCACGGCTGATTGGTGGATGTCCGGAGAGATTCAAGGAGTTCTATTCAGGGCTTATTGGTGCACAAAATTGATGGTGCACGGCTGCGCTCCCTCCTACTGTTTGTAGTGGCAAATTAGGAATTTTTTAGATACTCGTCAATAAAATCGCATTTAGATACTCGTCCCACCCTGTGGACCCATCGCAACTCACCTCAATATCGGTGGTTTCGAAATTGATTTTAATAAAAAAAATAAGATATAAACTACGAAATTGCGTAATGATTTCCGTCGGTTGCAAAGTGCCATCAATTAATGATTGAAAAAATGACAATGACTTACTTTAATCGGTTGCTGAGTCATCTTTCCGGGCCCCGGGCCTCTTCTCTGAGCCTGAGTTCCCTCCTTGGTTTCTCTTTCAAGCTTTACAGTTCATGCCACCGGTGGAAAAATAATGTCGATAATAT